ATAGTAGAATGTTTGAAGGAACTTGTAGTGTTGGTTTTCTCCAGATAGCAATTAAGATGACAAGATTCTCCAACGTAGTAACGATTGCTAAGATTATATTACATATCAAGTTTGCAATGTAGTACTCGAGAAAGTCTCCGGTTGCAAAGAAACGACTGTCCACATTGTAGCATGCTTTGTCAGTGAATGCACCTGTTCGAAGCAAAGTCGTGTTTTCAGTCGATAAGTTGAATTTTCCCAAAGCTTCCATTCCGTAATGCTTGACAAACAGAAGACCTTTAGTTTTTTTAAAGCTTAAAAGCGCTTTGAGGGGACAAATTATTGCGAATTTTACAGCAAAGCCAAGTCAATGTTAAAGAACTGAAGACTCATTTGAAAGGTTAAGAGTGCCCATTTCCCAATGCCTGAAGTTGACAAATATTACTAATTGGGTGGAAACTCACCAATCAAACACTGCCAACTTTAGTGACATCTTGTCTCATAATGTGCCTTGAAAATTGCGACCACCTTTTCTTCTTTGTTTCGAACTTCAAAAGACACCCTTAAAATTTGTTCTCAAATTAACAACTAGATAAGTCATTTGAAAATGCAAATGATTTTCAGCTCATATTTGAAATTTGAACGCGGCTGCGTACAACGTGACTAATTAATTGCCGAGTTAAGTTTCAAGAGAACATAAATAGCCACAACAGCATATATTCTTAAATCTCTTTAGTTTACTCAGCAATTGAAGCCGGAAAACAATTATTCTTTTTAATCAGTAAGGTATAACAGCCAGCAGGTAAAGTCAGTAAAGCAATCGGACCAAAAGTTTAGGTGATATTGTTTATTTTTTATATTTGAGTTTCGGCTTGTATCGTCCAATTGACTTAGAAACTGAGGACAGTCCTACTGAATTTTTAAGAGAGGGAATTATTCATTGTTTAGTTAAAAAAAACAAAAAACAAAAAAAAAACTGGTCACTGAATGAAATCATGGATAAAAGATTGGTATACGGTTCAGAAGTTCCTTTGATAAAAATAATCTTCCCAGTATAAGAACTGCCTCCTCCACTGGCTTTCTCAAGAATACGCAAGAGCTGGATGAAAGCGAGAAGCGCGGGAGGGGGGTGATGGGAATGAGCGTAGAGCGCCTGCCTGAGCGGGGATTGATTTTTTTCTCCCCTTCCCATCACTCTCTTTGTCCCCGCTTTCCTGAATAATTAACTCAAATATCCCCCAAAAGTGATCGCGAGCGACTGGAGACGAGGCAGATCTAAGCATATTTTTGCCACGACACAGTACAATGCCAAGCTATGCCATTTGTTTTAGGTGTGGGAGACAGAATGACCAACGCATACATACATACATACTTTATTAGTATTCCCCAGCGGGCTTTGCAATACTAAACAGCAAAGAACATTATAATAAAAAATGAATAAAATTATAAAAAGCGGTCATTAAATAAAATAGTTCTCTAGCAAGTGCGTTTTCAACTTTTTTTTAAATGATAACTGTTTAAAGTCTCTGTCTAAATTGTTCCAAATGTTGACTGCTCTATGGAGGAAACGTCGCTGTCCTGACTTTGTCTTACTTGGAAGAATATCAAGGGATTCTCTGTTTCTAGTGTTATGATAGTGAATAGACTTGCGTCCTTGGAGAGACTCACACAAATATGTGGGAGCTAGGCCCTTCATGCACCTAAATGTCATTACAGTGTCTCTGTAGTGGAGATGCTCATTTATCGGTTGCCATTTGATCTCGCGTAACGCAGGTGTTATGTGCTCAAATTTCGTGGTTTTTGTTATGATTCTACACGCGAAATTCTGAACAGCTTGAAGCTTCTTGATGTTTGTGGCAGTTGTGTTTGACCAAACTGTAGAGCAATAGAACAATTTGCTTAGGACTAGAGCGGAGATGATCGTGCACAGAGTGTCCCTATCAAAACTGTTCTTTACCCTGTTTATTTGACAACGTTTGGTTATGCACGATGAAGTAAGTTGATGGATGTGTTGGTCATGGGTTAAGTTGTTGTCTAGAATTATTCCGAGATCCTTGGCACTGGAGACAGGTGTGATCTCTTTCCCCAAGAAAGAGATCGAGATTTCGTTAGGAAGCGTGCGCAGTAGTTGTTGTGTTCCGACCATAAGGAACTTGGTCTTTTCAGGGTTGATTAGTAGTTGATTTTTACAGCACCATGCAGCCACTCGTCTTAAATCTTCTTCAAGAACACGTTCTGCAGACGCGGCATCCTTGACTGGAAAGGATAAGAAGATCTTAGAGTCGTCTACGTAGGACTCGAGATTGCATACTTGTGGAGCGAGAGGAAGATCACTGATATAAATACAAAACAAAAGTGGTGACAGTATGGCGCCCTGTGGTACGCCATGGGTGATAGGGAGGGGCGTAGATGTAGATGTGCCAATACGGACCACCTGAGTTCTATCAGTCAGGTAACTCTCAAGTTTTGTCGGCGGCAACAAGTCTCAGCTTCTGTAATAATATAGAATGGCTAATACTATTAAAAGCTTTTGATAGATCCAATAGTATCAAGGCTGACAGTCTCTTATTGTCCATAGCATCTAATAAGAAGTCGCAGATCATAATATTAAGAGCCTCTGTAGAGTGGTATTTACGATTACCACTTTGTTTACTAGGGAGGCCGTTAGGTTGTAAATACAACGTAACCGTTTGCTTTGACGATGGTAGAAGGTTACGCTAGGGTCTTTAAACGTAATAGCCAATTTACTGATCTATTTAGTTACAGGCGTAGGGGATTCTCCGCCCAATTTAGGGTAGGTGTAGCGCGAAGGTTCTTGAAGCCCTGACGCCATTTAATAAGTAAGATTGAAAATTGACACCCTAAAACCAACAAAAAAACAAACAAAAACAGCAGAAACAATAAATACAAAGAAATAACCCTTGAACAAATTTTCTTTTAGCTTTTATTACGATTGAAGGGCTCGTGAATCGTGATCTTGAGGGTATACCACCGCCCAGGTTAGCGTCATCTTATCCGCTGTGTGCTAAAGTATACTCGTATGCTTAGCAAATGCCATAGGCTAAAAACCTTGTTTTTCGTTTATCTTCGCCCTTTTTCTTAAATATCTTGCCAAGATTCCATTCAACCAATGGCTCAATAAGGTGGGAGTCATTGGTTCAATAATTGTTTGAGAATTTTCGGAATACTCGTAGTGAATAAATATTAAGGGTGTCTATCTTAAAAATTTGGGGAAATATTAGAATTAGGGCAGTTGTTTAGAACTGAAATTTGAAATGAATGATTAATAGACAACCACCGGGGGCCGGTTGCTCGAAGCCTGGTTAGCGCTAACCGTTGGCTAAGAAGTATCAAAATGTATAGGTTTCCATGGTATGTAACGCTGGTTAGCACTAACCATGCTTCGAGCAACCCGGGCCAGATAGTCAACATCCACAACAAGGTGCTCCTGAACCCAAAAGCGGACTCACCGGTTTATGGTTATACCTTTTTCTACTCCGCTTATTTCTCTCATCCTCAACTCAATTCCATTTCCCCTAAAGAGCAACCAGGAAGCCTCCTAAAAACGATTATTGACTTTATTTCATAAGATGCTTGAGTAGTTTGCTGAGGTCACGTAGTTATGCGACGCGTGCGTCAAGCAACTCAATGGACATCCCGCATATTTTCATTTCTGAAAAGAAAATATGCGGATGCAGGAATGAGCATTCAGTGAAATTTAGAATAATTTGAATATTTGGCTTATTCCCATCACGTTTCCGTCTGCTGGTAATTTTTTTTTAATCTATTCTTGCATTTGAATAAGTCTCGACTGAAATTCTATGTTTAGGAAAAATTCGAAGAAAAAAAGAAAGGAAACTAGTGTGGGCTTAGATGGAATTTTCTGGAGATGTCTGGGAAGAAATGAAATTTAATATTTTTTTCTGTTTGTGTAGGTTGAACTAACATGTATATTCATAACACTGGTAAATTTCCTTGTTCGCTGTTTCATTTTCCTTGAGATTAAGTTTCTCGTACGGTTGATTTTAATCGGAAATTGAACTTATTACTGAAGTGTACCACTGCGACCAGTTTCATTGTGTTTCAGCGTTTTATCTTAGTACAAGTAAATTCAACTTTAGTTAAGGATGAGTTATTGTTAATCGAAATTAAAAACAGTTAAATTAATGGGATTTACGAGTTAATTAACATACTTCTTAAGTTGTAGACTTTGGTCATTTGCTGTGGAGTCCAGCTGAACTCAGATTACATGATCATCTTGAACAATTTTTCGTTCCGGATAAAACTTCTCATGCCAAAATTCTAATGATATTTTTACAACAAAATTTCCAGTCCAAAGAATACAATGGTGTATGTTTGGAATATAAATTTGATTCAATAATGCCCCCCCCCCCATTTTGCGTGGGGACCCATTGAAACTAAATATACTATATTTTTTAAAAAATTTTTCTTTTCGGAAAAAAATTTTCCGCCCAAAATTTTAAAAAATTTTTTAAAAAAAAATTTCCCAACCAAAAAAAAAAAAGGTTGATTTTTTGAAAAAAAATTTAATTCAAAATTGCCCCCCCCCCCCCAAAAAAAAAAAAAAGAAAAAAAAAAAGAATACTAATGAAACTTTAAATTGGAAGGCCATCCAAAAAGAGAGTGAAGAGTGAAGCCTGCAATTTGGCGACGAGAAACTTTTTATTGATTTTACTTTAAAAGTCGTATTACACCGTGTAAACACTGCCTTCATATGAATTCAAACACAATTTTAATATTATGCATCTACTCCACTATTTATTTTACTCCGCATTACGCAACTTGAAATCGAGAGAGAGAAATTTCTTTTGTGGGCGAGACTGGGGGCATTTCTGTTTGTCATTATTATTATTAGACGACGGTATTGACAAGTTCACGGTGAATCACTTTGGTTTATTTATTGTGGTTCCATTTTTGACGACTTGTCTCACGTGGAAGAAGAAACGAAGCCAGATATTACCTTAACGTGGCCTTGAAGGAAATCAGTAATCCAGCGTGAGATGCACGTACAAAACATTTCCAGAAATGCGTCCAACATTACGAAAGAAGCCAACGAATGGGATGTAGAGAGCCTGTCATGTTATCATTTTAACTCCGTTCACTACAGTATAGGAGAGTCTTCGCTTGTTTGGTACATTATTAGTTTTGTTGTAAACGGCGTTGTCCAATCCATCGCTACAGTCATCAACTTGCTCATTCTTCTGGCTATTAGCAAGACCCCCTCACTCCATTCGCCGTCCAACACGCTCTTGTTCGGTCTAGCTCTGTCGGATCTTGGTGTTGGTTTAATTGTTCACCCCCTCTTTCTCCTGCATATGATTGGGAAGTTGGCGCGGAATAGAGACGTTTTCTGTCACGCTGGAATAGCCGCTGAAATAGCGGCAAACGCTTTGTGTATCATCTCGCTCCTAACTGTAACCGCTGTTAGCTTAGACAGGTATCTGGCCCTTCAACTCCACTTGCGATATAAACAGCTGATTACGATCAAGCGTGTCACTCTTGTTATTGGCTTCATCTGGGTTGCTGGAACTACTATTGGTTCTTTCTGGCTCTATAAACCTGAGGTGATAAAATTTGCTGCGATGGCGACGATTGCGATATGCCTAATGGCTGCCACATACTCTTATTTTAAAATATATCGCGCTGTTTCGCGCCATTACTTTTCTACTCTGGCCTTACAATGTTCGGTTCAACAATATCATGTCGATCAAGCAGTCAACCTGGCTAAATTTAAGGCACACGCACTGAGCACATTTTGGGTTTATTGTCTCATCATCGTGTGTTATTTTCCTTATTTTTGTGTGTTAATAGCCATAATGCGGAGTGGACTTTCAACGACAACGATATTTTGGTACGAGATGACGGCCATTCTCATTTTCATAAACTCTTTCCTTAATCCTTTGGTTTTTTGCTGGCGGTTACGAGAAATACGCCACGCCGTGAAGAAGTCTGCCCTGAATATTGTTTTAAGACTCTCGTGCAAAACTGAGTCAAGTAATTAATTCCCGTTCCAAACGATAACATCATCGTGGAGGTGGAGATGTGAGGGAGCGTACAAAACTTAAGCCCCCGGGGGGGGGGGGGAGTACTTTCTAGTAATAGGCTAATGGGGATGTTAGCGAACAATTCTTGCAAGGACCACTTGGACAAACAGCAGCGAGGGATAGCCTGATCTTGTCGTAGATCAGGATCAGCATTATAAAATAACACTTAAAATTGAAGGCAAGGCGGATCGGACAGGGCGCTGCATTTTCATTGGAGGTTTGTGAAGTATTTTGAAAGTGGTTTTTAAGACGGATCTATCTTATCTTTAAAGTTTAGTTTTTGTTTCATTAAGTATTGTTTTGTCTACGTACTATTTTCCTGTTTTGATCTTTTGTTTTTACTTGTACTTGAATTTATGCTTAGCTCGCGAATTTACTTATTGCCATAATAGGAATGTTTTTCGCTTGTCGTTGTCAGATGTTAGTTTTTTAAAGGTTGTTGTGTTTGTGGTGTTAGAGCCGACCTTGGTTCTTAGGTACTTGTCAGTTGCCACTGTGCGTAGGCTAATCTATTCCCTAAAAATAGCAAACCTGTTGCAATGTTAGCGATAAGATATTCAATACTGAAGGTCTCCCGGTCAGCTAACCCAAAAATGTCCAGCTTTGGCTTTAAAAACCGCTACTATACTTGCACTAGTAAGTAGAAAAGAGTTAGAAGAGTTGGAAGATTAAGATTGTTAGCAGAAGTCGAAGACGAATAGAGGCCAAGATGTAAATCAGATTACTGATACCTCATCGTGTAGCGAGCGAGTTGCTCGAACACACCCCCACATATTTTGATGGAGAACCCGTTATTTTGGTGAAGAATTCGGAGTCTAGTCTGTTTGAAGTATTGTCACAAAAATTAATTTCTCATTTTGAATCAAATGTAACTCTATGGCAATTGAGGCAAAAATTAGAAGAACGTCGTCAGTTGTTAGGGGAGACTGTTGCCGATTACCGTTACGATATTCTTTCATTCTGCTCTCGTCTATATTTACCTAACAGTGAATGGCTCTATTGTTTTGTACGAGGTCTAAGACCTGAGATACGTGGCCACGTTATTTTGCAACAACCAACTGATGTGGACTCCGCTTTGAATTTTGCGAGATTAAAAGAATTAGTTACTCTTGGTAAATCGAAAAATGGTCAAGAAATTGAGGAATGTTAAGAGTTAAAGTCTAATCCCTCAAAAGAGGATATTAAACAATTTGTGAGAGATGAATTAAATGTATGGACTGAAACTTCCAAAAATAATGAAAAATATCGTATTCATCGGAAATTTCAATCATGCACTTTCCCTACCCGTTGTGGAATCATTATTTTTGGTAAAAAGCCAAAATTCGACAGATTTAGAAATTTCAAACCTAATTTTAAACGCCTGCCTCGGAGAAGCAATGTGCAAAATGTTTGTAACTAGGGAAAAATTGGCGCTCAGTTAAACTGGCTGGCACCCCTATCGTGTTTGGTAGTGAACCCGTGATGGGGTGCTTGAAAGTTCAACAAGTAATAACCATTCTTCCGTCGGATCTAGTTATGATAAAGGTGCTTTCGGTAACTCTGGGAATTCGGCCGAAAGTGTTACTAAAAAGAATGTTCAAGAATTTAGTCATGTTTTGTCTAATCCCTGTGAGCCTGTTATCTCTTCAGACTCTAAAATGTTTGAACCTCAAGTTGCCGTCACATGTCAACACGGGTGTTCTCAAGAGGGCCAGCCTCAAAACGTCCCTAATGAAAATATTATGTTTGGAGTTATTAAGTACCTTTCTCAGGTCATAACAAAATTTGATGATGTAATCGCCGGCTCGTCGCCAAATGAAAAAGAAAATGCTCATTCGCCAAATGTACCTATGTTTTCTCCTAAAAGTGAAGTCATTTATGAGAAGTCTTTAAGTGAAACTTTATCTCGCGAAGTCAGTATAAAAAAAAATTAAAAAACAAGAACAGTTGGCGCCTGAGTCTAAAAATGAAGAAAATTTGGAAGTAAATATCGTTGGGACTAAAAATAATTATGTTTGTTGTGAGTGCCGTGGCTTATCTGTCGCAAGTAGCCCAGAGACAAGGGCATATGTGACTGACCTGACTGACTGGGTTTCTTTCCGTGCCATATCCAGTAAAATTGATTCTATTCATCCTTTCGAGAGTGACCATTTTAATGTAAGTGTAACAATAAAGGGAAATAGCTATCGTGCTCTCCTTGACACAGGAGCAGCTGTAACAGCAATTAGTTCTCAAGTTTGGGACAAGTATCTTAGTCACAAAAATTGTTGTTTAGATTCCTCGTCGACTAGTTGTGTAACGACTGTAAGTGGTTCCCCTCGTAGTGTTCTTGGTAAAGTATGGCTCAATTTTGTTATTAAGTCTGATGTTTTTCTTTTGAAGCCTATGTTATCAAAGATTTAACTCATGACGTTGTTTTGGGCAGAGATTTACTTAAAAAATATTGTTCGATAATTGATTTTATGGAGAACATCATTGAATTTTCCCACCCCGAGGATCCACTCCCCTTTGCTAATAGTTTTGGTGATGATTTGGATAAGTTTTTGATAATTGTATTTTGTCAGTGCATGCTGATAATTCTTTTACTTTTCCCGCTCAATCAGAAGTCGTTGTCGTTGATAGATAGTAAGGGTGCGTTCCTTTGGGATGATCCGGATCAGGATCAGTGATCCGAGATCACTCGGATCACGGTTGATCAAATGAACCGAAGAATCCTTGTCCAGAGTGCATTCATCATCTCGGATCACTGATCCTGATCCAGATCATCCCAAAGGAACGCTCCCTAAGTTCAATGCCGAAAGGTGTAAACACCAGTGCCAGTGAAATTTATGGATTGGTCACGCCTAAGTCTGATTTGCCTCACCGCTACTCAGTTTTTGGAGCGTGAGAGCTCGTAAAGGTTTCTGGTGATGCAATTGTTCCTGTTAGGGTGGTAAACCTTTCCGCTCAACTAGTTAAAATTTTTCGTGGGACAAAATAGCAGATTTTGAGTGTGTTGATAATGATTTAGCCACATTTGAGATTGGCAAAAATTCCCCTTCTTATGTTGAACATAAGCCTTGAGATGATCGGCAACAGCCAAAAGATTATTCAGAGTTTCCTGATTTGTCGAATAGTATTCTGAATGATGATGAAAAAGTAAAATTTAAGAATTTGTTTAATAAACATCGTAATGTTTTTGCTTTTCCTGGGGATCAGTTAGGTAGAAAATCCCTTGTACAGCATGGCATTAACGCTGGTCATGCTATGCCTATTAAGCAAAGGCCGTGTAGAGTATCTCCTGATGTTAAGAAAGAGATTAACCGTCAGGAGGACGAAATGCTTGAGAAAGGAATAATTCAAGAGTCTGTCTCCCCTTGGAGCTCTCCAGTTGTTTTGGTAAAAAAGAAGGATGGATCATATAGATTTTGTGTTGATTTTCGTAAAATTAATAAAGTCACTAAAGTAGATAGCTTTCCAATGCCTTTAGTTGCTGATGCGCTAGATTCTTTGGCTGGTGCAAGCGTGTTTTCCACGTTGGATCTCAAAACTGGATTTTGGTAGGTACAAATGCCCCAGGATTCGCAACAGAAGACAGCCTTTGCTACGCAGAACGGCCTTTATGAATTCTGACAATTCCGTTTAGATTAGTGAATTCAGGAGCCAGTTTTCAAAGACTTATGGGTCATATTTTGAGAGTCTTAGGATACCATTTTGCTTTGATTTACATCGATGATATAATCATTTTCTCTAAGTCTGTAGATGAGCACTTAGTCCATTTGGAGGAAGTTTCTAGACGGTTGTGACGCTAATGTTAAGTTGAATCCAAAGAAATGGAGTTTCGTTAAACAAAGAGTAGAGTATCTTGGTCACGTAATTACGCCAGAAGGCATTAGTCCCAACCCAGACAAAGTAAGGGTGGTTCAGGAATTCCCCACCACCATAAATTTGAAGGAATTGAGGAGTTTCGTAGGTCTTGCTAATCATTACAGACGTTTTGTAAGAGGCTTTACAAATATTGCCAACCCTTTGAATCCTTTGACAAAGAAGAACGTTCCTTTTGTTTGGACTGTAGCTTGTGCTGAGGCTTTTGACAAGCTTAAGCGTAACTTGGTTTCTGCACCCATTTTGGCATATCCTAATTTTCGGGAACCATTTTTGCTGTTAGTTGATGATAGTGCCACTGGTATTGGTTTTACCTTGGCATAAATTCAAAATGGAAAAGAAGTATTCATTGTTTACAATGGTCGTGGTTTGAATAAGGCAGAGCAAAAATATAGTACCACAGAAAGAGAAGCTCTCGCATTAGTTGGGGGTATAAAGAAATTTCAGCCTTATTTACACAATCATAAGTTTACTGTTGTTACTGATCATAGCTCTCTTTGTTGGTTAATGAATGTTAAAGATACTTCCGGTCGTCATGCAAGATGGGCCTTACTTTTGCAACAATTTGACTTTAATATTGTTCATCGCCCTTGTAGAATCCATGGTAATGCTGTTTGTTTGTCTAGACGTCCACATGATTCTTGTGAAATAAGTTCGCTCAATAAAGAAGAACCTCAAACGCCCCACACTCAAGAAATGTAAAGAAGAGATCCTGAATTAGCTGCAATGATTGATTTTCTAGAGAATGATATCCTACTTACTAAGGATAAAGATGCACGCAAGATTTTACTTGCGATAATTTTTATATTGGTCAAGATGGTTTGCTTTACCACATTGATTTCAATCGAAGGCGTAATGCTCGTGAATCTTTTTCTCAGCTTGTTTTCCCAGCTGCATTACGTTTTGAAATTCTCTCTAATGTACGTGATCATATTGCCGGTGCTAATTTTGGCTTGAACAAAACTTTAACCAAACTTATTGGAAAGGTATGTTTAAAGATGTAGAAAATTGGGTTAAGTCTTGCGTGGAGTGTTCAATAGGGAAGTCTCCACGAAGTTCGAAAACGGCACCCTTATTTCTGATTCCCATCGAGGGTGCATTTGACAGAGTGGCTGTTGATGTTTTAGTTACTTTTCCACCTTCTAGTAAAGTCAGTAGGTATATTGTAGTTTTTAGTGATTATTTAGCTCGTTGGTTCGAAGTTTTCCCAGTCCCTAGTGTCGAAGCAGCTGTTTTTGCACATCTTTTGATTGATGAAATTATTTCTAGACATAGGGCACTACGTGTGTTGCTATCTGACAGGGGAACTAACGTTTGTCTAAGGTCGTTTCACAAGTTTGTAAAATATTTCCAATTCAATAGGTCAATATTTCTAGTTGTCACCCACAGACTGATGGTCTTGTAGAAAGGTTCAACTCTACCTTTTGTCAGTCTTTGTCAATGTACCTTTCCAAAAACCAGAAAGATTGGGACCAGTTCATACCGCTTATTTTGTTTGCGCATAGGACTTCTGTTCTAGATGCAATTAAGGATTCTCCTTTTACGTTCTTTGTGGGCGGGAGCCACGTTTGCCAAGTGACGTTAAGTATTTGCCCCCTGTGGTTGCTGACTTAGGCACTTCGGTCCTTGACTATCGAAATCGTGTTGTCGAAAAAGTCGAATTGGCTCAAAATTTAGCGAGAGAAAATTTACAACGTGCACAACAAAAAATGAATGATTATTACGATCAAAAGACAAAAGAACCTGTTTTTGAAGTTGGACAACGTGTTTGGGTTTATACCCCGAGAACTAGAAAAGGATTATCCTAAAAGTTAATGCATAACTGGTTGGGTACATACAGAATTGTTGAGAAATTGTCAACAGGGTTTTTTAAGTTGCGCACGATCACCGATAAAAAAAGTTGCTTTTTCGTGTCACGCGAATCGTATGAAACCGTTTGTTGATTCAAATTTGAGAACAATTGACCCTCCTCCTTTTGAAGCCGTACATCAATGAATCTGATATTCCAAAAGATTGTTCTGAGCCAATTTCGGCCGAAGCGAATCCTAAAGGTACTGACTTAAACCCCAGTTAGTATTGAGATGCCACTGTCCCCACAGCTAATTTTCAACTTGCACTCGGGTTTTACCTTCTGCTACCACCGCGTGAATTCACACAAAAATACCACAATGTATGGCCGTTGGTAAGAAATTTTAGGCCTAGGCCAAACGTCGAACCTTTCATGAGACGAACGAAACTCTAATTTGAGTTGACCTAAGGTAAGATCGTCTGTTGGATCAGACGTAGAAACTCAGACATGATCAGACCAGAAAGCAATTTTAATTGGCAAGTAATACATTTTCTCCCGAATGAGGCTAAATACACATTCTCACACAAATTTTTAATTTATTAGTTTAGTTCGTCGCATGTGAAGATCGTCAGACGTTCTGTCCGTCTGAAGCAAACGGATGGAACGTGTTTGACGATCGAAACTCATTTAGACGAACTGTCTGAGCTAGCCAGACGTCGAACTTTTCATGAACCTAACTCACTAAGTTTGGTTCGTCTCATGAGAAGCTTGACGACTGGCCTGGGCCTTAGTTATCGTTCCTATGTACGATTCTAATAATTTAATTTCTTTGTTTGGTTTATTCAATTTGTTTGGTTGAACAGACTTATTAGGGCGCTTTCGAAACACAGTAGACACCCTCGAATAAGAACCTACCTTTTTGAAGTCTGGCAAAATAGGTTCTTGTATTTTGGGGAACTTATTGGCAATTTAGGCTAAGTAGGTTCTTAATTTTTGTGAAGGAGATAATAGATTGTTGTTTACCAGAAGAATAAACGAACTTGGGTTTGGTCCTTATATATACATTATTTATTCACAACTGTATTATTGTTATCATTACCCTAACAAAGGTGATTACAGAATTTATATGCAGTGTTAACTCTATAACAAGACATGTAACAAGTAAGTAAATAAAATAGGAAAGTGAATGGAATGAGCCAAAAATTGTCTAAAAAGACTTTTTAGCGTTCAAAGATTCACTGTAGCTATATCCAAAGAGTTAAATTATCAATCTCAACTAAGTTACACTCCTTGGTTAAATTATATATCATAATTTAGCTGTAACCCACGTATAAGAAACTGCTTGATCTTGCTTGGCTTCAGCAGGACCCCAGGTAGGTGAGATAACCCGCTTAGGTAAAAAAATAACCCTCCTTTACATGTAATCTTACAACCCCGCCACCCCGGGGTGTACATTCTCAAGATTATTGAATGATCGCTAAGCACGTAAACAAGAAAAATGCTGGCAAACCTCGTGTTTAGGCGATTAATGCTCTTCTACACTCACGTGCTGCTCTTGCTGCAACCTTCAGTGCTGTGGCTTTCTATTGCTGCCTTTAATGATGGTGCAAAGCCACCGCCAAAATGAACTTTGCTCGAATTTGATGTATTGCGAATCCGACCCCGGCTAGGCGGGTTACCCCACCTTGAAACGTTTGCATGGCAGAATTTGACCCTGGCTGAGAGGGTTACCCGGTCTGGCAGACTCGGCTACCCGCCTAGGCGGGTCATCCCACCTATCATGTAAACGTGATCCAAGTAAAATGAGAGATTATATGGACAGGCGGGTTACCCCACCTAAGCGGGTTACCTCACCTACCTGGGGTCCCCCACCTCTATGTAAACAGACCCTTAATCTACAAGATTCGCGGGTGTTTACTGTATGCATAAGTCTTTTCTCGAAATTTTGACCAAACCCCATCACTGACTTGCATACCATTTAAGAATAAACTAATGTGACTCGAAAGTCCTGATAAGTCTTTTCTCGAAATTTTGTCTTAAACTTATAATGCTATCCACTGGATAAATCTTTATCCAGTGGATAACGCAGTTGGTTTCCCTAATACTTATCCGTTGGATAGTGATTTATCCGGTGGATAGTGCTATCCAGCATATGAAAAACCGGACTGGAAAGTCCTGATAAATAATAGCCAGTCTTGACAAATGGTTATAAGCGCCCCAAATCATCTTGGCCTGGCCTCTTTGAAATTCAAAGCATTCAATTTATCACCAATTTATACCATTGTTGGCAGTAATCATGCTCTCTTTTCAGTATTTGCTCGGAGCCTCCGCCCGATATTGGTTTAATTATGAAGACAATAATGCTGAATCAATCTTAGTCAAAACATGCCTTTCCAGGATTGGTCTGTCGACTTAATCCGTGTTTCTTCTTAAACAAATACATTGTGATCTGCCTTCTTAGTTAATTGAAAGGTATTCCCATGTCCCAGATGATTGTATTGTAAAACTCGTAAAACTTCCTCTATGCAGACCCCACAAATTTTAAAAGTACGAATGGAATAAAACAACAATTTTCACTTTTTGAATCATAACATCCGCTACAACTTTAAACTATTACTCTCGGTTTCTGAGTTAATGCTTGCCGCCGGCAGAAATCATTGGATTCTGATTTTCACCTTGAAGAACTAACCAATTGTGAACTGATCGTCACTTTAATAACTTACTTGTCAAATAATACGTTCTTCATTTTAATTTCCGTTTCCTCGCAATGTGAATTTGTGTTGTTTTGTGTGTGTACTTTTGAAAGGCATATCGTTTTATGGTGTACTTTGCCCGAAGAACCGTCGATATAGAAGCTGATATTGAGTGTTTTCAGGCCAACGCCAATCATCGAGCAGCTGCTTTTGTTAAGTCAGTTGACATCTATGATTGGATTATTTGCTATACTCTCTCGCTTTAGGTCTTCACGTTGCATCTTCTGGTAAGACATGATCAGATAAATCGAAAATCTGGTTTATCGTTTGCATTTCCGATCGTTAAAGTGCATTAGTTCTGTTCTCCAAAGTGTGTTTTTTGTCAAGTCAGCATCACTCTCTTGCACCATAAAATCCAAAACGGGCCTGCGGAAGTCCAAAAAGACCAAAAAAAATTAAACTTGTTCACGAACGAAATCGGTGCCAAGGGGAGCGAGTTTAAGATGGCCGTTTCGACTGAAGATGAACTCAACGACGGACTAATTTGTTATCATTTTACTGATATACACTTCAATCTTGGCGAATCTTCGCCCGCTTGGTACATTTTCACCTGCGTCGTGAACGCCGTGTTTTCCGTAATTGCGACGCTGTCTAACTTACTTGTTTTGGTAGCCATTTACCGGGCTCCTTCCCTACATACTCCGTCAGGGACTCTTTTATTTGGTCTAGCGCTTTCCGATCTCGGTGTGGGCTTGATAGTACATCCACTGTTTTTCTCGCAAATATTGGCCAAAGTCATTCGAAACAAGCCACTGTTCTGCGAAGCTGGAATCTCAGTGGAAATCACCGCTAACGCTTTGTGCATTGTATCGCTTCTAACGGTTACCGCTGTTAGCTTGGACAGGTATCTCGCTCTCCGTCTTCACTTGAGATACAAAGAACTCATCACTATCAACCGCGCAATTTTAGTTCTCGTTTGCGTTTGGTTGTTCAGTTCACTGTTTGGCTCGTTGTGGTTATGGAAGCATGAGGTTATAAAAATAGTGGCGATTGTTATCATAACTGTGAGCTTATCTATAGCTTCCTTTTCGTACTTTAGTATTTATCGCGTAGTGGTCCACCATCGATCCGTCATTCACGTTCAACGCAATCGAATTTTGTCTTTTCAAAAAGCTGACGAAGAAGAAATAAATGTGGCTAGTATCAAGAGGCAAGCAATAAGTACATTCTGGGTTTACTGCATCCTCGCTGTGTGTTTTACACCATACATGTGCACGGTTGCGGTGATCGAAGCCGAAGGGATCTCAACTGAGTCGCGGATATCTTACGAAATAACAGCAACTTTGATATTTATTAATTCTTCCCTCAATCCTCTTATTTATTGTTGGCGCTTGAGAGAAATCAACGATGCCGTCAGGCAGACATGGAGAAGTTTAATCAGCTGATAGCCGGTCAGAAAAACTGGTAGAGTTCTAAGGACGCTATTTAACCTCTTGTAGAAACCTCCGCAAAAATCCGCGTGCAATTCTATTGCAACATTGAACATGTACATGGAATTTCCCCACTGTTTTTTTTTGTAACTTTTCCTTTAATATGAACTTTAGAAACATTAGCGTTATATAAATATATCTTAATCCATACTAGAAATCTCGCTGTTTGGTTTGGTTTGTTCCTTGCTTATTCAAATTCCATGGAAATTTTAATATTCTTTTCCATCAATGATAAATTCGTGCTTAACGTATAAAAATGAATGTAAAGCAAATAAAAATGAAGAAAGTTAGGTTAACTATTCAGCTGTTCAATTTTGTGGAGTTCCTCGCACAGACAATCAGGCGGGGACATTTTATCAGATAGCCTAAACTTGTGGAAATATTTTACCTCTGAATCCTGTAAAAATCATGACGGATGATCAAGATAACCTGTCAGTGAGAGTATTTTTTCTTTAGAAAGTTTTATTCTCTCAACCATGTTTCTCGTTATCGGCAATAACCTTGGAAATATCTCGCTCTGTAATTAAGCAACAATGGTAAGCAGCCTAACTTCGAAATTAGTGATAAAACAGCTGTCGGACGTGTCTCACTTATATAAGTTGCGTTTCGGACTTGAGCTCTCGTTCGATCTGATGTGACAGGTTTTGTTGGCTTGTTAAGATGTAGCTTCTAATATGCTTTTTTTAAATTTAATTTGATTCAACTGTACGCACAAATCGTCTTATTAAGCCCCACAAAGGCTTGTTTTTTTTTTTTTTTAAAAAAAAAAAACAACAACAACATTTTACTTCCAACAATCGCCAGAATAAAATTCCTAAAAAATCTCCTTTTGTGCAATTAATACTGTGCAAAGTTCACCTAAAAAAGGCAGTTCATTTGAATGGTAACACCAAGGATTTCGCCGGTCAAAAGATGCAAAACGTAGGATGACAAGTCATTTCATTAGTCTTGCATTGCATAAAAGAGTTCAATAATAATTATCTTGCAAATCACCCTATTTCTATCTGCTGATAATTTTGATGAGTCAACTCTTGCTAAAACGATGACATTTTTCAAAAAATATACCTTTTTGGCCTTATAAGGCCGTTTCTCTAACACTTAGAGTAGTTGGTCTTTTTTTTTGAAATTTTCGTCCTCTAAAAAACAATACTCGCAAGAGCAAACGCATGTTTTTCATATAAATCTACGCACTAAAAGTTACAAATGAAAATCTCAGTATTATTGATGAGTTACCTGCTGTAGTTTAAATGAGTATATATGCCCGGAAATACGGAAAATACCATAATATTCTTTAAATTGCCATATGGGAATGTAGTGCTGCATGTAAACATGACTATTGGATTACGGTTCACTTGTTCTTTCAGAAACCTAGTATGTCTTTTGCCATTTACCCTTTAAGCACCAAGATTGACCAACATCAATTTTCTCCTTAGCAATATCACTGCACAATCAATAGAAAGGCTATAAGAAATTATTGAAATGGTCAACAAAGGAAAAGTGTTTTTCATCTTTTTAATTTTGTCAAATTCTCTCAACTAATTTATCAAGGAAATGTTTGGAGACCCCTTTGAAGAATTTGCAAGTGGGTATTGAGGCTTAAAGGGTTAAGAGGTCTGTCTCCCATGGACGTAAAAAGGAGGGTGCGAAACACTCTTTTTAAACATTAAAATCACAGAACACAGCAAGCTTCCACAGCGCAAGCCCCGTACACTTACTCTGAATTCCATTGTCCCGTTTAACAACGAAGGCCCGAATTACTCCCCCGCGAAACACAGCCTGAAAGATTACTATTGCCGGTATTTTTCTGGAAACCAGCTTTTGGACCTGCCGTTCATGCCAAAAAAAGAAAGAAGATGATGCAAAGATGCACTAGCCAAACGTAATCGGTTGCCGCCAAACGGCAATTTGAAGAATATTGTCAGGGTATTTTGTTCAGTGTAATTAATTCCGTATTCTTTTGAAGGATCAATTTCATTCTAAAATTTGTCTTAGTTCACTGAATTGATAAAAGTAACTTAGCCTCCACAGACAGGTCTGTAAGGCCTAGGCCAAACGTCGAACTTTTCATGAGACGAACCAAACTCTAATTTGGCCCTAAATCACACAAATTTCGTCTCATGAAAAGTTCGCCTAGGCCTAAATCTCCCGACGCTCGAGCGTTTTCGCCCGTTCAGACGAAAGCACTGAAACAATGTAAATACAGTAGCATCCCTTACAGGGCATGCGCTTTGTAATATATGCCCAGTATTGGGTCCTCGACTCTCCGACTCCTCTACAAGATGGACAACTATAGATAGTCTATCGCATCTCAAGTCTTGTTCAACTTAACGGTTCATAGCCTGAGAAAACAGCCGACATTTCGCAAGGCCAACACTGGTTTCCCCGCCAAATGACGTCTGAGAAACGAACGCAGAAATTCCATACTGATGACACGTCACTACCCAGATCTGGGTAGTGGTTCTGGTTGGTCGTGCCTCGTGGGAAACTTGATTCAACCAATCAGAAGCACCACTCATTTCTGGCTAGTGAAGCGTTTTCAGTATGGAATTTCTGCGCTCGTCTCTCAGACGTCATTTGGCGGGGAAACCAGTGGTAACGTCGCCAAATGTCGGCTGTTTTCTCTGGCTAAACAGTACAGAGTCTGTCCAACTTTTGTCGAACTTAACTTAGGCGCGACACACAATGCGCCGTCTGAATCAGATGTCGCGCCAGTGTCGCTCAGCTATTCAGTTAGGTTTGGAACATGAAAAGTACAGCGTCTGAACGAGGCCTAACTGTCTAACTGCTGGTAATTTACGCAAACGGCGGTCCATTATACTCAGCGACGAGTACATGCTATGTGAAAACGCGGGAAACAGGACTTAATTTCATGACATAATTTCACGATTCCAAGAGAAAATTAATGCTTGCTAGTCATAAACACCTAAGACCAGTTTGTTCAGGTACACAGTCAGTAAAAAATGAACAAAGGCATTTTTTTCATCAACACACCGCCAGCGAACAAATATGCTACTGACGCACATGACTGAAAAATGCCTCTTCTGAAAGAAACAGCATGTTTGTGAAAGTGAAAGTTTCTTATTACGTACACTTTAATCAAAGCCTTTTCCAGCTGTAGCAGCTGCTAATTTAAGACTTTTATGAACAGTAAATAAAACTCAAAAAGCAATATAATTTAGTCATCGTTGATTGCTTTTGTTTATTTCGGGCTTTTTCATCTTTTTTTGACACTTAGCTACGGTGGCCTTTTTTTTTTCATAAGAAGCAGCTTCAGCTCAAGTGACATTAATCTTGGAGATCCTGTAGCGATGATTTTTCATCAAATGATTCAATGGCAATCTTCAGATTTATAGGACAAAAACCTTTTATCGTAAATCACTATCATAAACTGAGACAAGACTCAATATTTTTGTACTCTGCATCTCGTAAGTGGTCGACTTAACAAACAATAGTTGTAAAAGTTGTAAATGACGGACAGCTTATAACTGATAACAAGACAATTTCCAACCCCGTATGTTTAATTCCTACCCACAGTGAAAATCTTTTTTCAAAGCTCAAGTGTTCCCTAACAGTAGACAGTGTATGGTTTAAATTTGTGATGAACTCGGATTTACAATGATAATCGTATTTTGAGACAAAGCTAAAACAACCGGTTCCAATGTCCATTAAGACGTTTTAAGTTGCTTTTTTTTGGAAAAAAATGTGAAAGGAGAAAGTTCCGTTGGAAAATAAAACCAAAAGCAAAATAAACATGAGCTGTACGGATTTACGACTCCTTAGGTTATTTTTGCATGTTTTTTAAAAGGGGCGTTAAAAAAGGCCTTTTAAAAGTTTTTTCCGTTTGACATCAATAGAGGCTATCTTTTCCGCCCTCACTTAATACTACCGGTCTCGAACATTCATGCTACCTGCTTAAGAAGTGGCAGAATACCTGTCTTATTTTGGTAAAAAAAAAACAACAACAACAACAACAAAAAATTATCATAAAATATGATAACGTTTTCCTCCTCTTAGAATTTAGGCTGGCCCTGGTAATTTCAATGCAAAATTTAAATCTCTCCGAAAACGAGGCACCGAAGTGATTTTATCCTTTTGTCAAAATGTAGTTTTAAGTATGATCAATGTTACTATGGTAACAAAACTCCATGACTAGTACGTTTCAGTGTGAATATTGTCCGTGTTTTACATTCAACAGATGCAATCAAATTCAAACTAAAATGTGCTAGTCATGAAGGGTATGTTGGTCTGCAACAATTTGGAAAAATCAGCATAACGTCAAAACAATGAATGGTGTAACGCGGATTTTTGGCCGGTTGGTAGGCTAGGTTTGTCTTGAATTTTCAAGATGTTGCAGTAAATCAATCTTAATGAAAGATTAATGATGTATTATATAATATCATTCAGATTATTTGATGAGGTTTAAAAAGAATTATGTCGCGCCGTTCCAGAGATATACAAGAAAGCGCTAAAAGTCAAAATTTAGAATAAAGTTGCACTTGACAGTTGGTGAGAAAACAGGCGTGTTTTCAGGAATTTCCAAGCAGCGAAAGATGATATCGAGCAGCATTCTGAATATATGGTTTGTAATATATTTACGCTTTATTTGAATTCAAATATACATAATTTTTTATTTCTCACGGAGGTTTACTAAACACTGCACTTCAAGTTCCTGGTGTCGGATTTTCAGTAGCTGGTCTAGATAGCACAAAATTCGGCTTTAATCGATTTCAAAGTTTTTTGTTTATTGCTGTAATAGTGATATCGATTTTATTTAAGACTACATTTTGAGAAACTTCAATTCATAGTCAATCAGTGGTGAAAATTTTATAGCGATCGGACAAGGATAAAATCACTTTTAAGGCGATTGAAAAATATCGGTATGTACATTTCTTTGCCCGTTTTTGCACGACCACGACGTGAAAATGCCTATTCGCGTTTTATGGAGTACGTTAACAAGCAACGACGAAATTTTGATTATCTTTCTGCTCTTGAATATGGTCCCTAGAAATTCAACTTCCAGGAGGGTTGACCTACATTTGACGAAGTAAGTGGGTAGGAATTATTGCGATAAAGACTGAAAGAATGCAAATTCACTTTTTAAGCGACGTTCTCATTTCCGTCGCGTTGTTGGATCTTAAAGTCCCTAATAAGGAGCGTAAGCAACCACTGCCCGGCCCGACCAAGTTACTTTGCCTTTTTCCAAACATCGCCGTGATCATTCCATTTTACGGTTTAATTTGCAAAACATCACAAGATAATTTTTCTGAAGTTGCATTCTAAGTTGATCAGTGTTAAGCGGGACGATTCACAACGACGATTTTTAGTGCAACCCAGCGTTGCAATTTGGTTGCGACATTGTTTCGAATGTTTGCAACATTGTTCCAACGTTACAACGATGTGCTGCGCTAAAAATCGTCGTTGCAAATCGTCTCGTGTAACGTTACCTTTAGGGACCGTATCCGAGTTCAGAAAAAAGAAATCAAAAAACATCTTCTTGTGTTATTGTCCCCCACAAAACATGAAATTAGGAAATTTCACGTCATAGTCGTGGTGATTCGTGCCGTGACGGTAAAGAATGAATCAATAAGAATTATTGTTTTTCTCATTAATCTATTTCATTCTTTTTTTTTGACGTTCTTGTTGTCGTCGCCGTTGTGCTTCGCTCTCTGGGAGCTTACGCAACCAGGACGGCGAACGCATAGAAAACGTCACTTAAAAAGGGAGTGACTTTAAGCCGTTTCAAACTTCGTCGTCATTACTCCATCTTGTTCGAACTTTTTTGAAGTTGAAGAGTATCAAATCCACTAAGGCGGAAAGGGATGGTCATGGGGGCGAGATCTCGCTTCCTTGCCCCACCGCTTATCTGAAACCCGACGCTCGCCCTCGGGGGCCAAGGTTGCTGCCCGTAACTGCAGGCGCTTGATCCCAAAGATCTTCACGGAAAAACAGAGGACTGTGAACAGTCTAACGTTTATTTGTTGAATTTATTCAAATATTTTAATGCGTTTGTACTTAACAAGCATCAACGTACGTGGTAGCTCAATGGTAGTCAGTGGCTCTTGTCAATCATAAAGTAAGTTAGTAAGTGAAAAATCATGTATGATATGCGTTTTTGTACACACCAATTTGCCTAGTCCCCAGGCTTCATTGTTCGCACGAATTATGCGTGTTCTTTCACGTGGTCCGAGCATAATGCATTGGCCGAGAAGGCCTGAGAAGATGCTGCACAGGGACTTGGCAATGCACTAAACAAAACTCGAGGAAAATGCGTGTAGCTTGTAACTGGAAGCGCTGGAAAAATCATTTGAACCAGTTATTTGCTATATTGTTCAAGAATCAAATGTTGCGATGTTATTCGCCAAACACAAATCATACAAATCCAAAACTAAAGTGACTGAAACCATTTTCGACACTTATTGAAAACACCTCTTGCAGATTAGTCCATGTCTTACGGAGTTAGGAGGTAGTCTCAAAGGAAAGCGATTGTCTTTCTTCAAAAAGGTTTAGCCCAAGCTACTATTCACCCTTCTGTGAAGCACGGTTGCCTTTAACTGGATAAAATCCACTATTAAATGATAATCAAAGAGGTTTGTCATTCGACATAAATGAAGGCAAGACGTCCCCTCTCATACACAGAAGCCCGTTTGCACCGATAAGCTCGTCTACAGAACGATCCCTTTGAAAAGTAGCTTGCTTGACATCTACGACGGATTCTCTGTGATCAGCGTATGTTGGATCCTCTTCTTCACGTTTATACTGGCGAACCAGTTCATGCCCTCTGCTAACTGACGGAACATGAGTCGAAAATAAAGAAGCACAAGTGATAAGGTGATTACTGACCCCAGAGCTCGTAGGCATCAGTGCCATGGTTGGTACCGTGAGCATTCCACCGGCTGCCGACTTAAATTGACACGAGCAATAGGTTTGAACCTGTGAAAGTGGCCAGTCACGTTCATTGGCGTTGTAGGTGTGAAAACTTCCTGAAGCCAATCCTAGTTGCAATTGCTTCTTGTTCTGAATAGGAGGATAGTTGCATTCTCGCTTTCGCCATTTGGATCGACGATTCTGAAACCATACCTGCAGAGGGCAAGGGAGAGCTTTGGACACTGCAGGATTCCCATAAACTTTTCTAGAAATCCCAGAATTCATAATGTGGTTCTAACGTTAATGAAATTCTAAAGTGTTATTTTCGAAATAGAAGCTATTGAGCCGTTCTGTATGATAATGTTTATAGGGTTTGACGGAATCGTGAATTCTTGGAAACGTCTCAAAATTTGCAAACTAGTTTTCAAGAGTTGAAAGAGGTTTGGAAAAAAAGAATAGGTCTGGAAAAATGATAAAAAGGCGGGAGTATCAAAGGCTCATTTTCTAAAACCCAAAACATTCAATCTCATGATGGGCAATTTCAGATTTCTCCTACGTCTGCATTACACTTTGTTTAGTGTACGATTGCAGTGTATCATGGGAAAAGCCTTAATCCTGCGTTTGACGAGGATTCTAGTTTTGATCGCTTATTTGATAACTTTTAGTCTAGAAAATTAAATTGTTTTGAAAAAAAATCTAGAAAAAGCCTTGAATTTTGCAATTAAAAGTGCTTCTTTTGATGACGATTATTCAAAGGGGTCGCAGGGTACTTTCTGTGGTTCTTTTTACCACATGATACAAGATAAGTCGGTGAAGGACAGTGAGACAGTTCAGATTAAAACTACTGATCATAGCGTTGCAAGAAGGCTTTAACTTTACGGCGTGCGAACATGCGAATAAAATACCATATATACTGAACTCTGTAAAGCGCTAAAAAAAAGGTTCAATCAAGAGGTGACTACCTTAAAGAGGTTATGACATGAGGATACTTTGTTGTTTTAGGTCAATATGCCATTTACATGATGACGTCATTTTACTACTACGACCAGAATCCTTCAGGACTTTGCTTTCTTGTGCAAATTAGGGCTTTTGTTATAGAAACCTCGCTGGGATTACCAAATTAAAATATGAAAGGAAAAACGAAAAGGATTCTGGTCGTAGTAGTAAAATGACGTCATCGTGCAAATGGCCTATTCTGTGCTAAAGTCATAACTTGGTGCTTTTACCCATACAAAAAATGTTCCTGTAGCGTTAGGAAGAAAATATCATATAGATTTTATCGGATTAATTTTTTTTGATAATTTTCGCAGGCATAGCATTAAAACTTGAAAAGGTTGGCGCAACTTTTTCAAGTTTTGATCCATGTCCATCCTTTCCATTCATTGCAACAGAAGAAAGGGAACTGCTATATATCATATTTTATTATATGGAGGAGAGTGTTTTACTGGGAACTAAACCACTCGTAGATTCCATACGCCACTTCATCCGGGACCCGAGTGGCGTATTTAGGCATACAGTGGAAACACTCACAGCATAGCAAGTTTGACGTCACGATTCCCGCCTTTTGCTTTCGTTGAATTGGTTTCTCCATATAATAAAAAGAACATTACACGTTGGCTCGAAGATATGAATTTTATGCTCTCGTGGCAAGAACAATATCTCACTCGTTCGCTTCGCTCACTCGTGAGATATTGTTCTTGCCACTCGAACATAAAATTCATATCTTCTCGCAACCGTGTAATATCCTCTATATATGGAATTCAACTGATGCAAAAAAAAGTTTTATCGTTTCGAAAAGGTAACAAATAGCGTGACATATCCCCTTTAAAGTAAAAAAATTGACGACGCCTGACCTGTACACATGCCTCACTGATTCCCAGTTCTGTGGCAAGTGACTCGCGTACATTTACGCCAGGGTACATGTTCCACTGGAAGGCTGTCTCTAGTTTCTGCAGCTGTCGTATGCTGAATGCGGTCCTTTTGCGACGGTATCCCTGTCCGTCTTGTTTGGACTTGGGCGTAGTTCTTCCTAAATTTCCTGATGCGACTTTGCTCCCCTTAGCTATGGGTGCGTGGGTGACATTTTCAGGTTCGGCACTAAATGGGCCTAAATATGTATATATACGAAATCAATCAATCAAATGAAAAATAATATAATAACGTAGCTCTTAAACCCTCCTAAGAACGAATTAGTTTTTACCAAAGTTCTACCAAAGAGGTTTTTATTTGATTGGGAACACCACAGGATTACGTCCAGAGAATCAGAAGTTTGAGAGACAAATAACCACACCGGAATATTATTCTAGTAAATTCTTATATTCTTATCGCGTTCGTCAGAACGCACCCTAATCTGGTGTTCCTGTGGCACAAAGGCAGAGATTTTCGAGCTGTCACGGGCGACTGCCGATTAGCCAAAACAGACACAAAGCAGAGCGCACCCTTATCAGAAAACTTAAGACTGTGTCTAAAATCCTCCCTGGGAAACTGGACTCCTGTCTGCTCGATTTCGTTTCCGTAAGTAACGAACGCGGATCCGTAATCAATTATTACCTATAGTTTACTTAATTTTAGTCTTAATATTGACTTCAGATTTACTGAGGGGAGTGTACGCGCACGCGAGCGTCGAGAGACGCGAGAAACGTGCCTCTCCCGTCTCGCGTCTTCAACCACGCGAGTGGTCATTTGCGTGTCTCGCGCGTTTTCCTCGATGGACCAAGAAAAAAGAGATACTGCTCGTAGTCTAGTTAGGCCATGAACCGGTGCAAAAAATCTCCAAAAGGATACGTATGGTCGGAGCCTAAGCTGTGATTCAAGAACTAACTAACACAGCAGCTGCAAAATGTCATTTTACTTTTACGACATTCTATCACGTGCAGTACACGAAAAAGGTTTTTGTTCAGAGGGAACATGTTAGACAACGGGTGGTCTCATATGACGTTTCTCCAATGCTCGTGCTTATCTTCAGCCGAGTAGGAGGTACCGAAACTGCGCGAGGGGTAGGTTTTTTATTTGTGGAATTAGTTCCCCTGGTAGAGAAGTGCCTACCGCGTGGCACTTAACTTGTCCGGGTTCCATTTCTGCTATTTTATTACCATCTTGAAAAACCAAAAAAATTCTCACAAAGTAAAATTGCCGCCAAAATTTAATCGGCAAAAAATATATTTGCGGTCGAAATTTATAGATAGTTTTACACATGTGATGGGTGAGATTTAGATAGAAAAGGTGACTCCAGCAGCGACACCAAACTGTATACGACAAGAGTGTTTTATTTTAGATGGCTGTTTTGCCTGTACTGTGGTTTAAACAAAACTAAGAATGTTCAAGGTAATTTCTTAAAAGAAATTGCCAAAAACGTTCCCAGAGCGAGAAAACAGATTCAACCAAGCGTAAAAATCAGTTCCGGCAAAAGGTCTCCTATCTTCAGTATCTATAATGTGTCAAACTGAGAAGTTGTATGTTATTAAATAGTTTGTAATTTTACCCCGGTGGGATGTTTGAGTGTCTCGTGGTTGATCTAAATAGGATAAAGAAAAGCTTTTTTAATATATTGGGATAAACAAGGACAATCGACGGCAATCAGGAAACAGTTTTTATTACAAGGCCCTGTTTAAATAACGCATATTACTGAAGGAAATAAAGCTCTAAATGTGTGCTTGTTGGTCATAAATGCAGCTGTAAATGACTGGTCACCACCGCTGAAATGTTTAGGGCAGGGACGCACAAATGCCGGCTGTCCCTATAAACACGACTGACCATCAAATTTGGAACAGTATTATTCAGACTTTTAAAGAAGAACTCAGCCATAAAGCGTTTCGTTTAATTAGTCGGGAGATCTAGCGGCATTTTTTCAGAAATTTCCTGGGGCACGTGGGTGACATATACGAGCGCTTACATCGTCATAATATTAAAAATAAAAGTACATAGAATTTAGGGGCAGTGTTCGTGCACAAGATATCTCTCTATGTTAACTTTGGTTACCTTCCTTGTGATATTCTGTGACACCATTGAAGCCAGGCCTCTTGTCCATTTTCCCTTTATCTGAAGCTGAATTTCCTCTAATAGTGCCTTTATACCACGAGCTTTTCTTCTAGTACCATACAATGACGTTTTTCAAAGAACGTCGCTGAAATTTTACCTCGTCCGGAAGTTACGTAAGCTCTCTAATTGTTCAAAATAGCAGCCTAAACAAAGTAATTTTTTAACTTTTTAAATTGATATGAAAATGACCTTATCGATTTTTTCTAATGCTACTAATACTAAATATCATAGGAAAACGTCGACAAGCGTGTAAGCAGAGGATCGAAGTTGTGAAACCTCGGAAAATCACTTGAAAATCCCGTGAAAATCACCGACACGTGCGTGACAAGAAGGATATGGCGTGACAGACAAGCAATCCGTACCAAGCGCCGGTTGGTAGCATTCTGTCGACGCGTGGAACCTATTTTGTATGAGCTGAAGCCAGTTTTTCCACTTTGCATGAAGACGAATCAAAGGTAAGATTACAACTGTCACTGTTTTTAAGTACCGGTCGTGAAAAAAAGCACCGTCTAGTGTTTGCGGCGCGGGGCGACAACTGGGTCACCGAACTATGCCCACAGGTATGCAAACATTCAAGATTCAGGGATTTCTTATAAGAAGCAAATTGATTAGAAGCAATTTTTTTTAACATGCACAAAACACAAAAGTTGATTTGTGTTGGTTTATTTTAAATTGTGCTCTGCAGATAGAAAATTTGTAAATGAACAGCTTTTGCATGAAGAAGGTTTTTGTGGGCCAATTTGCCCGGAGGCGGGGTACTCCTGGGAATTCTTGGTGGGGGTGTGCCACCCGGTTCTTCAAATCCTCACCCGATTTCAGACCAAAAAAATGTAATTTTCCACACCTAACCTATACCCGTTTTCAGATCTACCTTTAGGCAGAAATTATGTTATGATTACCCAGATTAGAGCGAAAACAAAAAAATTATTCAAGCCATTTCGAATTCGCATATTTCTCTTTCTTCCTTACTCATTTGGAGTTGAAACGATAAATACGTTCATACACTCCGTAGTTCCCTTGAAAACTATACCCGATTTCAGACCAAATGCGCAAAGGGTATACTCGTTTTCAGACCAAAACGGAGCAAAAACCATACCTGATGAGGGCGGCACACACCTATATGGCTTATATAAGGGAGAACCCCCCCCCCCCGGGACCCTGGATTTCAAGTGACCGGGCCTGACCGGAAGGGTCGAAGGATTTTTTCGAGTTTAAATTTTCTATTCCGGGATTTTTTTGGGTGCCCGCGTATCCCGGCCACGTAGTTCTGCCAATAAAGTCGACCAAACATGTTTTTAAAAACTTTGCTTTTCGTGTTATATCATTTAATGTTTTCTGGAAATTTTTAAGGCTCGGAAATACGGCATGGAATTTTTTCAGGGGTTAATGTTTGGTCCAGGTATTTTTAGGTTTTGTTGGAAGCCCCAAGTTTTTTTCTGGGTTTTGATTTTTACCCCATTTGACCATCCCCGTCACTTGAAATCCGGTTAGAGCCACGGCTGCTGTAGCCTGCGTGGCAGGCGTTTGAAAGGGAAAGAAAGGGGAGAAACGCGAAACGCATTAACTCGACCCCAGTTGAATTAGTGCTATGATTCTACTGCCGAGAAGATAAAAAAATAACAAATAATTCATTAATTAAATAATTATACCCCGTATTAATGATGATAATGATTATTAATACCGTATTCATTCGATTAACCTCCCTGGGCGCTCATTACATTTTTGGACCTTGAGAGTGGGCGCGTATGAGATTTTCACCATTTTCAGCGAGTATAGTATGTTTACTTTGCAACAAAACAATAGATGGTACTTCAGATCGCGAAGATGTAACAGAAAGGTCTCTGTCAGAGCCTAGGCTCCTGTCTCTGTAAAATACTCCGTAAAAAACCCTGTCCTCGGGGAAGTCTCTTATTAGTACTTACTGTATTCAATTTTTTTGGGTAGGAGGGGGAAGGAGGGGGGTGGGGTGACGGTGTGCGGTTATTTGACTTTGAGTGAGAGGGGGATGGGGTGGGGGTGGGCGCCGATTATTCGAGGCTTGGCGCTTATTACCTTTTTCACCCTTTAGAATGGGCGCTTAGTCGAGATGGGTGCTAATTCTAGGTTGGGTGCTCATTGGAATGAATACGGTAATTATAATAATATGAATTCTTTATTGATTACTAGATAAAAACTTAACACATATCTAATGTTACAAAGTCGATAAGAGGAAAGCTACATAAACTGGAGAAAAAAACTAGTAAGTGAAGAGAATAAGACAAAAAATATGAATAATCTACTTAAAGAGTTACATTTAAAAAAACTGAGTCTTTTTATAATTAGTTTTTTTCTTAAAAGCTCCGATCCATCCAGAAGCTGTGTTTAATGAGGATAATAATAGTAATAGTAATAATAATAATAATAATAATGATGATAATAATAGTAATAATAATAATAATAATAATAATAATTATGTTGAGCAAGTAATTACAAAAGGTAAAATTAAAAAATCGTTGGGGCTTTTTAGTTGCTATTGGCACATCTGATTTTCACACCTGATTTTCCTTAAGAAATAAAAGAAAGACAAGATTAGGGGAAGTTTCCTCGTAGCATGGTCCACCTACACCTTATTTCAATTCGACAGATATTAAACGGCAGCCATGCACTCTTTGTATGCTTGCATCCGAGTTACTGTCAAGATAAAGAGGACGCGTCTTTTTTCCTCTTATCCGCGACATTTTCATTACCATTGCCACAGCCCAGTAGGCTGAAAAAAAGTAAAAAGAAGTGTGAACGCGGTCTTTCCGACCCTTCCCTCAGAGAGTGAGGTACATGTAATTGTCTAGCTGGGCGTTTAGTGGATTTGAAAAATCTGCTACTTCACCTTATCGACAAAAGGAAACAATCACGCTGTCACGTCACTTGAAGTCCACTATGTAGTGTAAAGATTTTCTTCAACAGAACAGTAGTGGAATTGGCTTTGATAAGACGACCGCGATGTACACATTTTCAATTATAGTAATAGAAGTAACGTGCAATTGATAACAAGATCGTTATCACTTTAGCTTTCCCGGCGAGCGAGGTAATTCTAGATTGCATCGGCATTCACTTGACCTACCTATATATGACCCAATGTATTCACCCAATATGTAAGTGACGGGATTAACGCATACTTTCATGATTAGCACTCTTCAGGTTATTTTAAGTATTGCGCATGATTCAAATGATAACACTAATAAAATCACTCGTAAGACTGTTAATTGGTTTTTAAATCCCGTTAAGAAATTTAGTTAAGTGCTATTTAACAGTAAGATAGGGAGAAATGATCTAAGAGGAGATATGTTTTTTTTAAGACACCATCTCAGTCAGTGAGAAGTGATTGAATATCTATTACATGTTATAAGCGTCATATATTTTATGTCACATGTAGCTACATGTTAACATATGCATAACGCATAAGTTAAAGGTCCTTGAACTCCGATCAGAGATACTGGGCAGAATGAAAGCATACTAAAACAGACGTTACTGGTAAATGGTACAGTCGCTGTTTTACCGCTCAATCATGAAGATCGGAAGCATTGCAGTTGTCTTTGCTATTATCCTAGCAACTTGTAAAGGTATGACTGACTCATTTCTTTGTTATTTGTGCTGTGTGTGCTTATACATTGAACTTTATCTAAACAACTCCACAGATTTTTATCACTATGCGACTTCAAAAGCAGTCAATTTCTTTCGTGCTAGCCAAATTTTCAGTTTCGTCTGGTAATTGCTAGTCCTGGTTTGCCATTACCGTCACTGATTACTAAATATGTACATGCCGGTTGTTCGATTTAAACCTTTGCGAACACTTAATGGTCAGGAAAGTATACACAAATTTCTGATCACAAATTAAATAAATAGGTCTTTTATCATGGAGTCATTGACATATCCACTACCTGCACTAATAATAAAAATGCGATCCTTTGAGATTGTTGAGCTCTATATGAAAGTTCAACAAATAATTGCAAAACTTTAAAAAATAGTTTTCTATGGAATAATTACAGATGCACAGTGTATTTGATGTTTATATACGTTTCTTGGTTTGTCAACGAAAGCTCGGTAGCATTCTTTTCCGATTAGCTCGGAAATTATTACAAAGGCTTTTAACAAAATGGTATCGTTCTGTTTCCTTGAAAGTCCGATTCACTTTAGACTTTACTCAAATTGATTATTTTTTTTAGCTAAGGTCATTAGCCGGCAGTAAAGGTATTTGCTAAGGACCTTAGAAGTTGATGAAGAACGATAAAGAGCCGCGAATACGATCCACGTCTTCGCTATTCGATTCAGGCAGACGGACACTGAACGAACGGTTATGGAAATGGTTAAATTAAGCCCGGGCTCGAGTTAATAACCACTGGCACTTCAGCTGGTGCTATTGATAATATCATTAAAATTTGAATGTATCACAAAAAGCCGACATTTGCTCAACTGCCCATGCAATTCTAATTAAACATTGGTTACATTTGCGAACCAAAATTTTTGGCGGCCATCGTTTTGCAAAAAGCATCGTCAGTGAACTGTTCTTGACGTACATGAGTCAGCCAAACATACTCCTCCGCAATTTGTTCACTCGATCCTTGCCTTATGAGCTCCTCTTAAGGTACGTGCTGACGTTCACGAAACCGTATTCCTTGGTGGGTGCGCCATGAAATGCCGGGAGTCGACTGGAAGGCCACGCAAATCTAATCTTTCCTTGTCTTTCACATCCTTTTTTCTATGGATTTTTCTGGAAGGTGACATTTACGCCGGTGGCATCATTGGGAAAAAAAAAAAAATTTGGAGATCGACCTCTTTGTCTGACCCTCGTCCAAGGGGACCTTAGATAGTCGATTTCCCTGGATGCTGCCCAACGCCAGAACGCCATTCAAGGACAAAGAGACCAGGGAGAACGCTTCGCTCGTCATTATGTTAATTGTGACCAACCGAACAAGAGGAAGGTTCATTTGTTTTTCCCATGACCCCTTTCTAAGT